TGCTGGTATTCTCAGCTGTGAAATAGGGATAATGTTAATGGTCACCTCAAGAGCTTTTAATGGAAGCAAATAAGGTGACAGATATGAGAGAATTTTGTAGGCTGTGTGGCACTTGTGGGGGGGGCCTATAAATAGATGGGAAGAACCATAGCTACTGAGGTTTGAGGTAACTGATTGTCCATCCTTCCATGCCCAGGTCAATGAGTATGAATATGCCACTGAAGATCAGGATAACCAAGTCCTGGAAATGAATCATGCCCTGAAGTTCAGGAATCCTGCTGCCCTTGCTGCCTCCTATGAGTCCCCAGCCTTCAACTTGCTGCGCCTGGAGCTGGAGGGAGCACAGGAGTTGGCAGCCCAGCTTAAGGCTAAGGGAAGGGTTAGTGCAGCTGGGGACCTCCTCTACCAACTCCAGAGGCAGGTATGTGGATGGATTTAAGAATCTCTCTCCCTTGCCCTGGTTGGTGTGGCTCAGTGGATTGAGTGACAACCTGTGAACCAAAGAGTTGCTAGTTCAATTCCCAGTCAGGAGATATGCCTGGGCTGTAGGCCAGCTCCCCAGTGGTGGGTACATGAGTGGAAACCACACATTGATGTTTCTCCCCCTCTCTTTCTCCCTCCATTCCTCTCTCTATAAAAATAAAATAAATAAGATCTAAAAAAAAAAAAGAATCTCTTTCCCCTTTCTAGCCCCTGTCTCATCTAATCAAAAATTCGAATTTCCAAAATCACTTCTTTCTGGAGAAGAAGACCCTGAGCTGAGAAATGTGGGGTCCTGAGTTCACCTCTTGAGAACATTCAGTGACCCACATTTCTGGCATCTCATTTCCATAGGTGGCTAATGCCAGCCTCACACTCAAGCTTCTGGCCGACTCTGACCAGCGCAGCTTCCGCGCTCTCCACCAGGAGGTGGATGTCCTTGAGAGCCGGCTAAGTGAGTGTGAGAGGGAGAAGGAGAAAGAAGAGGCCTCCAGAAACTCCAGCCCATTCCTGCCCCCAGGTGAGGTCTCTTATTAAATTTTCCAAGATATCATCTCCCCAAGGTCAGGGTTGGGCATGTAGGGTTGGCTGTGGTGTACTGAGGGGTGGGCAGTAAAGATGTTGAGGGGTGGGTGTAGAGTAAGTCTGTTATTCCCTTGTTTGGTGCATCACTAAGGAACGCAGACCTAGAATGGTACACTCTCACACACTGGCACACCCACATACATAGACAAGTAAATACACCCACAATCAGACATATGCACTAGTCTCTTCAGGCACAATCACACATGCTTATACATACATTTGTATAGGCACTCAGATGCATGGACATACACTCTAATGCACACATAAATTCATACTCTGCTCTCTGTGGGTCATATGCTTCACATCAAGCTCATACCTTGCCTGCTCTCTTCTCTAGGCTCTTGTGCCCATGGAGGCCTCCAGAAAGTCAGCAAACCCCTTGTGGTGCAGCTCAATTGGAGAGGCTTCTCTTACAAGGCAGGGGCCTGGGGTCGAGACTCAGCCACCAACTCATCCTCTTCTCTCTATTGGGTGGCTCCTCTGCGTACAGATGGAAGGTGAGTCCAGAATGTTTTTTATTCTGCAGCCAGGTTCATTCCAAATATTCCCTAACCTACCCTGACAGGTTTCCTGTTAGCCCCATCCCAGCTTCTTCTATACCCCTGGGAAAACTTAGACTAGGCCTGACAGCTTACCTCCTAGTGCTCCTCTCATGGGTTAAGGATGGTCCAGACAGCCCTAAGCTTCCTTTACAAATTCACTGTCTGAAATATTCCATCCCATCTAATCTAGAATTAGCTCTATTCAAGCCTGATCTCATCTCCAGAACAAATTATTCTATACCCGGGCCTCAGAATCCTGCCATCTGTTCAGAAAAAGTTTAGAGGATAAACTTGGCCATGCTAGACACTTGGAGTCAAACAAATCTGAGATTGATTCTCAATGCTGTCACTTAAGCTAAGTGACTTTGTGAATTAACATCTCAGACCCATCTTAGCCAGCTGTAAAATTAGAATATCATGTGAGAGTATATAGGAAAGTGTAAATGATGTAATAGGAAAAATATTTGTTAAAGAATGGCTAAATGAATCTATGAGTAGACAAATACACTCTTCAATAAACTGGCAGTCCGGCTAGGAAGGCAGATGCAACTCCCAGACCAGGTGTTTGAAGTGACAAAGTGTGATATAGATTCAATTGTTCACTCACTTGTCTACTCAACCAAGTAGGAAGTCATGGGAGGAAGGAATGAATGTGGGTTGAACTAGTCATTGAAGAGCCCCAGTTGAAAGTTATCTAAGAATGATGAGCTCTCTGCTGATAATAATGCTCCCCAATTTCTGTAGATATTTTGTAGCACACAAAACACACTGGCATTCATTATTATTTTTAAGCCCTCTCAGAATATCTGTGGGTAAGGCAAGACTTACTGCCCAATATTAAGAGATGGCAATACTTACAAGTTAGGAATAATTTAAGAGACTTTCCAAAGGTACCTTCTGAATCCAGCTTCAAAACTCTGTCCTACTACAGGGCATCTGTGCCTCAATGGCAGATGGAAAGCAATGAAATCTAAAAAAAGATTATCCATAAATAAGAAAAAAATAATAGCTACCACTTGTTTATTACCTACTTTGAAATGAATGCTCTGGTAATTATTTTATTTGCATTATCTTAGTCTTGACAAGCAGGTAATTTTTTTTTTTTACAAATTTTACTTTTGAGCTGAGTAACCTACAGCCAAAGTTAACCTTTATGAAATCTATTCTCCCAGCCCATGGGGAGAAAACCTATCTAAAAGTTATTTTATTATAATTAAATAAGATAATTCAAAAATGTATATATGCAAAAAAAGAACAAACAAAAAAGGTAAAAAAGAAAAACAAGAGATAATGCATATATAGTGCTTATTAGGTATCGTTGTTGTTGATGTTATTAGTACTACTGATACTGTTTTTTTACAACTATTTATTCTCTTGTAGTATATTGTAAGTAAAAAAGAAAGATTAAAAATCAATTCTGTTTGATTCCAAAGCCCCCACTATTACTGAGAACATTAGCCTGCTCACTTTTAATAGCGCTCTGTTTCCTTGTTCCTTGCTGTCACCTGCTGATTCTGGTTTGACTTAGGTACTTTGACTACTACCGACTGCACAAGTCCTATGATGACCTGGTACTGCTGAAGAACTATGAGCAGTGGAAGATGGGCTATGGTGATGGTAGTGGTAATACAGTGTACAAGAACTTCATGTACTTTAACTACTATGGCACAGGTGAAATGGCCAAGGTGGACCTTTCTTCCAACAGCCTGGTTCTGCGGCGCCCATTGCCAGGTGCCACGTACAACAACCGCTTCTCCTACGCTGGTGTGTCCTGGAAAGACTTAGATTTTGCTGGTGATGAGAAGGGGCTATGGGTGCTCTATGCTACGGAGGAGAGCAAGGGCAACCTGGTTGTGAGTCGCCTCAATCCCAACACCTTAGAAGTGGAGGAAACATGGCGCACCAGCCAGTACAAGCCAGCTCTGTCAGGGGCTTTCATGGCCTGTGGGGTGCTCTATGCTTTACGTTCTCTGAGCACCCGCCAAGAGGAGATCTTCTATGCTTTTGATACTACCACTGGGCAGGAGCACCATCTCAGCATCCTGCTGGATAAGATGCTAGAAACACTGCAGAGCATCAACTACTGCCCCTCAGATCACAAGCTGTATGTCTACAATGATGGCTACCTGGTCAATTATGACCTCAGCTTCCAGACACTGAAGAGAAGGCTACCAAAGCCACTAGTTGAAAGATCATCTGGAGCTAAGGCTCCACCCAATGCTGTCAAACCCAACAAGCCCCGCAGGCCTTGAGATCCAATAGTAATAGCATTGGTAGAAGTATGTCCTCTTTTTCACTCCCCAAAATAGCCATTAGCCTTAACGATTGGGCACATTGCTTATGTCTAGTAAATTCTTTATACTGAATATCTCAATCAGCACATTAAAGTTCTCTTTAATGATGGTCTAGGTGGATTTATTTGAGGTTTGATTGGGAAACAAAATATGGGCTGGAAAACATTACTGTCTCTTTACCAGAATCCTAGAATTGTAAGAACTGCAATTTAAAAAAATTATATTTTGTGTTTTGAAAACTGTGAACCCAGCTCCTATAATTGTAGGGTTCTGTGAGCTAAATTTAGAATCATCTCAGGTCTAGAGCCTCTGGTTCCAGTGCCACAGGTCCAGGGGAGCTGATCATTAGATTGAGATGTGTAATTTCCCTTCTTATCCCCAACCACCTGTGGGGTACCTGGGAGAATAAAGGGCAGTGTCTTGGTGTGAAAATTAATGTTTCGCTATCCTGAATATATTTCACTCTCAAGTATAATTGGGAGAGGGCTTAGATTTGAGTCATGCTCTAAGAAGTAAACAACTAATAGCTGAGTATGAAGGAAGCCTGATGCGGATTGGGGTAGAGGTCCAGACATTCTAATAAAGAATCCTTTAGTGTGATAGCAGGAAGTCTCCTAGAAAATTACCTGTAGTTTCTTTGTTCAACTTCAACTCACTGATAACATATGGGCCTGGACACTCTGCTTGTCATTTATCATCATGATGAACCTACCCTCTAGGCAAGAAAATGGAATGTTTAAGGTTTCAGACCCCGAAGTTTTCACAGTCATACAGATACTAGAATAACCAACGCACTTCTTTATTCTTATACTTTCACACATATTCATTCACAAATATATATTCGATTACACATGTGCATTCTCCTTGTTGCATATATGGTATTTCTATCCATGCCCAAACATCAACATAGACATAAATATGCATTTAACCTATTAACAGAAAATTCATCTGCTACCAAAAAAAAATCAGTCACCGTTCTCCAAATTTGCATAGAACTGAGAACCTGGCTTTTTAGTTGCCTAAACCTGCCATTAGGAATTTCACTGTTAACAACTTTACTTTCACCTTTTGGTTTACAGACATTTCTCTTAATGCTTCAATGAAAAGGTAGGCATTTAAGATGAGACTAGAATATTGAAAGACATTATTTAAAAATTCTGCTGTAATAACACAGAATAGACCAAATGAAAAGCAAATTAACAATACTTTGCATGGAACAACTCATTAACATTTTGTTCTGAACGACCCTAGAGCAGGGGTGTCAAACTCATTTTTATCAGGGGCCATGTCAGCCTCTCAGGTGCCTTCAAAGGGCTGAAATAATTTTAGGACTGTATAAATGTAACTACCGCTTAACTGTTAAGGAGTTGAAATTACATTCAGCCCTTTGAAGGCAACTGCAAGGATGACGTGGCCTCTGGTGAAAATGAGTTTAACACCCTTGCCCTAGAGGAAGCCTCCATGGCTAGTCCTGTTCCTGATTCTAACACACAGCAAATTCCACCCACTGCACTCCACCAGTCCCCTGGCAACACTCTCAGTTAAGTCTAGAATCCTGAAATTTGGGCATAAAGGAAAACACAACCTCCTCTTTCACTTAAGAACTAACCTCCTCTTTCATTTAAGAACTTTGTTCTTGCTCCATTTCCCTTTCTAATTCCCAGCTCCCACCAGATCACTAAAAAAAGTTATGAGCTTTTTTCTATAAGAGATTCTGTTCTTATCCACACTTATGTACTTTTATCTATGGCTTCAGTAGACACCACTTTTCTTACTACATGTCTAGAAACTCATACATAGCACCTCACATCCCACATAACCTATCTGGGTTTTAATTTATTTTTTAATAGTTCCATCCTGAGAACTTTGTGCCCAATTTCCTGGACAATTGTCTTATTTTATTTCATTATGTAGACCTGGACTCACTAAATATGTCTTCTTTTCCCAGTTAGTCCTGGTAGAAATTGTGAGGCCAGAGTTAACATCACAATATCTCTTTTATGAAGAGGTTATGATCCTGGTGGGTGGGGCAGGGGAGGGGCAGCCCTGGGAAGAGTCATCTCTACTTAGCCCACCTTGTCCCGAGTATGACTCAATAATCAAGAAAGATCTCAGCTGGGCCACCTTTGGAGAACTGGAGTAGGGGTAGAACTTCACAAAATACCTGGCTCAAGCATGGTCACTTATCCTTTTTGGGGCAAAAAGCCTGTGAATTGAAAACACAACACCTAAGACAGAGGCCAGTGGTCTCCGTTCATTCCATCTGCCACAGCTTCCACTTGTTCCCCATTTGTCTTTCCTCCAAGGTCCATTCCGCATGTTATCTCTCAAACATCCAGCATGGCCCAGATTGGGCATCTTTCAGGTCAGCCTGCCAACAAGAACATTTCTTCAAGTATCATTCGAGTGACATTAAAGATACCAGGCGAGCAGGAAGACTTTATGATAGCTGCTGACACCTCAGTGAGGCAGTTCAAGGAGAAGTTATAGGCTCATTTTAAATGCCAAATGGACCAGCTAGTGCTGGTCTTCATGGGCTGCCTTCTCAAAGACCATGACACACTGAGCCAGAGGGGCATCTTGGATGGTCACACCATCCACTTGGTCATTAAGTCTAAGCAAGGCTCCAGATTCCTGACCCATTCCTTCCAGAACATGCCAAAGAACAAACTCTGCCTCCGGGACAAAAACACCAAAGGAAATAGCAGTGAGGTATTCCAACCTGCTATTATGAGTCACACTTCAGTGGAATCAGCCCTTTTTCTGGAGCCTGATGCACCCCAGGGGCTTACCCAGGACCTGGAAGTGGGTAGACCTGAGTGCATAACCCAGATGCAGGAAAATGCAAGCACCCAGTTGCTTCTGTCCACCACTGACCTCATGAGACAGTTCATCTTAGAACACCCAGAAATGCAACAATTGATGCAGAGAATTCAGAAGTCTCACACATCCTTAACAATTCTGAGATCCTATGGCAGACCCTGGAACTGGCCAGGAACCTTGCCTTGATTCAAGAGATCATGCAGATCCATCAACCTGCACACTCTTGAGTGTCCTCTGAACTCACCTTCACAACTGGATCTAGAGACAATCCCAGGTGGGAACAATGCTTTGGGCCAAAGCTACACTGATTTCAAAGATCAAATACTGAACATCTCGCAAGATCACTTTAGGGGCAACCCATTCACAGCTCCCATAGAAGGACAAGTGCAAAAACAAGTCCATTTCTTACCCTCATATCCACCATCATCCCAGGAAAGGCTGGACCAGCATTACTCCATATCTATCGGTATAACCATTCTGGCATAACACTCACTTAGCGAACTCATAATGATCTATCCAACTCTGCCTGCTCTCTCTGTAGGCAGAAAAAAAGTAGACAGTTGTGCAGACTAATCACATCTAAATTTATTACCAAAACCCATTATTGGTCTGTTAGTGATCCTCCTACATTTTCCTATTCCAGTATTTCTCAATGGAATCTGCATTAAAATAACCTAAAGAGTGTGTAAAACATGAATTTCTGAACTTCATTCCAAGAGGGTTTGATTCAGTAGGTTTACACTGAATACCCAGGTGTTGTTGATGTTGCTGGTCTGGGGAACCACACTTGGAGATCCAATGCCTGAGTCAGTTCACTATCTTATTTTTTTTGAGATGATCATTTTATATAGTTTCAGCTCTTCTTAAACTTTCACCATCCTCATTTCTATTTTTAATTACAGCTGATGTTTTGATTATTTCAAATGTGATTTTTGAAATGATCTTAATCTTTGATTAAGATGATCAAAGATTAATCTTAATCTTTGTCTTAATCTGATGTCTTAATCTTTGATTAAGACAAATGTGATCAGAAGAGACTTATACCTGTGTCCACTACTAAATCAGCATTTGTACTCACACACACTGCCCTCCAACCTGTTGTATTGAATAACCTGTCCATGTTCCTAAATCAAACTCTCTACTAATATATCTTCACAAACATTTGACATTGTTTGTGACATTGTCAATTGACAATGTTTTCTCTCTTCTGCATCATTTTTTTCTCATTGGATTGTTCCCATTGGAATAAAACTATGTAATATTCTCATCTTAAGAAAAAACAAGAACAAAAAAAGCTTTTATCCTTTGAAAAAGTATTCCCATACAGCCACCATTCTTTTTTCTCATTTAAAGTACTCTTATTGAATCCACTATTTTCCCAATTCATTTGTTTTTAAATTCACTCCATCAGGTTTTCTGCCCCCACAACTTTTCTAAAACTTGTTTTATCATGGTCCTAATTCTCTCTTGTCAAATCCAGTATCAATTCTCAGTTCTCATCCTACTGACCTACCAGCATTATTTGACACATTTGGTTACTTTATCCTCCTGGAAACTCTTCATCTTCTCTCTTCTTCTTTGCTTTTTTGACTTAATGTTTTATTTTTTCTAAATATTCTTTGCTGAATTCATCTAATCTTCCAGACTTCTAAATATTGTAGGGCCCTATAGCTCAGTCTTTTTACCTCTATTCTTTTTCTATATTAACTAGCCTCATGATTCTAAATACTTTGACAATGTGGATGAACTCTAGACTCATGATATTGAATTACCTTCCTACATTTCCATTTTGATATAAAATAGACATCTCAAGTATAAGTGCAACTGACCTTTTTTTAGTATAACCATATTCCCTCTTTTACTCTGTCAATAAATAGCCAACCCACTCTTTGAGTTTTTCTGAATAATAATAATAACAACAGTAATAACAATTTTTATTTAGAGAGAGGAGAAAGGAGGGAGAGAGAAAGAGAAATGTCAAGTGAGATAAAAACATCAATTGGTTGCCTTTGATACTTGCCCTGACCAGGGTCTCAACCTGCAACCTAGACATATGTTTTGACTGGGAATTGACCTGGTGACCTTTTGGTTTGTGTGACAATGACCAACCAAGTGAGTCAGACCATCCAGGGCAGTAATATATATATATATATATATATATATATATATATATATATATATATATACACACACACATATATATATTTATTTAAGTTAAAAAATTTTGTCACCCTCTGCCCCTCTCTCATAGTCTAGCTTCTGTTCATCAGAAAGTCAACGGTTTGAAAATATGTAATGTTGACTAATGTTGAATCAGAGAAAAGACAACATAAGACACCAAGAAGAAGAGGGTTCACTGAGGAGTACCTGAATTTGATTTTTAGTGGGGACATGAAATATTAAGGAGTCTTTCTTAGTTCTTCAATGTAAGTGATTCTCCACATACCACATAACAGGGCTTGAGGAAGTAAGACTCTTGGACTTAGAAGGAGGGTAAGCCAATGAAAAAGGCAAATGAGATAAAGAAAGTAGAAAAGTTAAAGGTTGTTGGAGATGGAGTTTCCAGGGATCCAGAGTACTTTAGAGAAACCGCAGGAATCCATTGTATGAGGCTGTGATGTCAGTGGTGAGGTCACAGAGGTCACCTGACACCATGGCTTCCAGCCCAGAAAGCTTCAGGGTGTCTGTTCAGCAAGATGAGGGTGGTTTGGAGCCCTGTATAAGAGAAAGGACAGGGTCACAGCTGTTTGGTATGTATTCCCCATACTGGGTCATTCTTCTTTCTATTACATCTTTACTCATCAACTATAGACCTCTTCCCCAGGGCCTCAGGTGTTCCTTCTCTGACCTCAACATCTATCAGAACCATAATCCTCTCATAGCGTCTTGTCCCTGGGACCTCATTGCCCCTTATTTGTGGATCCATTTGTTTCCGCACCTTGGGATCCCAGGCACTCTTTCTGCTCACCTTTCCTACTTTCACCATTGCCCAAAAGGATGATCTTTGTCTTCCATTCACATCCCCCAGCTGTGTCCCCACATACCTCGGCCTCCAACTGCCTACCATGGCCAAAAGCGGAGAGGCCCTGCCACAGGGCAGCCCAGCACCAGTCCAGGATCCTCACCTCATCAAGGTGACAGTGAAGACACCCAAGGACAAAGAGGATTTCTCAGTTACAGACACTTGCACCATCCAGCAGCTAAAGAAAGAGATATCTCAGCGCTTTAAGGCTCACCCTGATCAGCTGGTCCTAATCTTTGCTGGCAAAATCCTCAAGGACCCTGACTCACTGGCACAGTGTGGAGTGCGAGATGGACTCACTGTTCACCTGGTCATCAAGATGCAGCACCGTACCATGGGCACCAAGTCCTCAGCTGCCTCAGTCCCTACCCCGACCCCTGGAGCATTTTCTCAGCCAAGCTCCCTTTACCCAGCAGGTGGGCCATCCACCTTTAGCTTAGGTGTCCTCACAGGCTTCAGTGGGCTGGGCCTGACTTCTGGAAGTTTCCCTGACCAGCCAAGCTCACTGATGTGGCAGCATGTATCTGTGCCTGAATTTGTGGCTCAGATCATTGATGAGCCTTTCGTCCAGGGTCTGCTGTCCAACACAAGTTTGGTACACCAGCTGGTTCTTGACAACCCCCATATGCAGCAGCTGATCCAGCACAATCCTGAAATTGGGCATATTCTCAACAACCCTGAAATCATGCGGCAGACACTGGAGTTTCTACGCAACCCTGCCATGATGCAAGAGATGATGCGTAGCCAGGACCGGGCACTCAGTAACCTGGAGAGCATTCCTGGTGGCTACAATGTGCTTCGGGCCATGTACACAGATATTATGGACCCGATGCTTAATGCTGTACAGGAACAGTTTGGTGGCAATCCTTTTGCTGCTACCACTACTGCTAATGCTACTACTAGTAGGAGCCAACCTTCAAGGATGGAGAACTGTGACCCTCTTCCCAACCCCTGGGCTTCCACACATGTTGGCTCAGGTGGCAGGCAAAGCAGGTGGCCTGGGAACCAGGACATATCTGAAATTAGAAATAGGGTTCCCAGCATTCTGGGTAGTATAGGGTTCTATGACTATCTCCAGCAATTACATGAGACTACCCAGTCCCTGGGAACCTACCTACTAGGGACAGCCTCCACCCTCAGCCCAAGCCAAGAAGCACCACCACCAGGAAACCGAGTTCCCCCAACTACGCCTGCACCCCAGAAACCTGAGTCAGACCAGTCACTCCCCAAGGAGTCAGTAGCAATCAAAGGCAATCCCTCTTGTCCAGCATTCTTGAGATACTCCTTAGAAAGTGGTCCTAGACAAAACAGAAGCCAAGATCGTACAGGAAACAGCTCCACTGGTCACAGCAGCAGCATGCCTGATCTTATCTCAGGGCTAGGAGGCACTGCCAATAGGGCCCCATTTGTTCCTTCACCACCTTCCTCCATGGTGGCTACCCCTGGAATCCCTGAGCATGCCTGGCTACCACCACCAACATATCCTAGATCTATGTGGCCAGCCAGTATGAATCAGGCCCCACAGTTGCAGGATGAGATGCATCGGCAGTTGCCTCTTTTACTGCACCTTCAGGCATCCATGGCAAACCCTCGTGCCATGCATGCCCTGCTGCAGATTGAGCAGGGTCTGCAGGTCCTGGCGACTGAAGCACCTCACCTCCTACTCTGGTTCATGCCTTGCCTAGCAGGGCTGGGAAATGTGGCAGGAGGTGCAGAGCCTAGAGAGGGGACCCTTATGCCTGAGGCTCCACCCACAGCCCTAGCTCCTGAGGTTCCCCCAGCACAGGGCTCTATGGAGCTAGGCCTTCATTCCACTCCCTTCCTCCAGATACTGCAAGCACTAGCTAGTGCCAATTCCCAGCAGCTGCAGCCTGAGAATCATTTCCATGTGCAGCTAGAACAACTGCGAGCCATGGGGTTTCTGAATCCCGAAGCCAACCTCCAGGCCCTCATTGCCACAGGGGGTGATGTGGATGCTGCAGTGGAGAAGCTGAGGCAGTCGTAGGAGCCCAAGTTATTCAGACTGTATCCCCTCTGTGCCCTTTCCCCCATATCCCACTGCACAGCTCTACCATTCTTGGATGCAGCTGCACTATGAACCAAATTTACTATGATGCCCTTTACTCTGGAGACAATGTCATTCCAGAGTCAGTGAGAAAGAATGAGGGCCAGAAACAGGGTGGGGTGCTGTGAGTTACCCAACCACCTCTGCCATTGTACCATCGTGGGGCCTTAGTCTGAACTCTGCATATGCTTGTCTTGAGATGCAATAACATCTAATCTCCAGTGTCACTTGTTGCCTGAGTCTGATTCTTTGTGGGCTCTGAGGGAAGGGGAACATGTGGGAGAAGAGGTGATATGAAAGGAGCTATATCTGCATGGATGGGAGGGCTTTAGGGAAAACTGGGAGATTTAAAGGTAGAAGATTCAGAGGCATGGAGACCAGAGGAGGGCAAGCTGAGGC